GGTGAAATAATGCACTGGTGGTAACAATGTGAGACCCAGGGCATGTTTACAGTACAAATTTAAGCTGACCTACGTTAGGTCAACTTACAGCCACTGTAATAATTCCTGCGGTGGTTCATGTCCTCACTACCCTCCTTCTGCCGGTGGTGCACTTCCATCAACTTAAGAGGAGCAGTGGGGGGGTCAGACTGCCCTGGGGCCCCCAACCTGCCCTGGGGTCAGAACCCACACCTGGCTTTCTTGTCAATTTCATGGCTCCCTAGGGAGCCATGAAATTGACAAGAACAACAGCCAACAGCAAATGTAAATAACCCACAGTGTCTACAGGGACACTGCGTCCCCCTAACTACACTGACATAAGCCTTACTCCTCTCATGGAGCTGAAGTTATGATGTGGTGTAGTGCAGCACTTACATTGGCAGGAGCAAGGCTGTTGTATAGATACACGTAATTAGGTTGATGTAAGCTGCTTTACATAGACTTAACTCTGTAGTGTAGAGCAGGTCCCAGAGTAGACCTGGGCTCTGACTGTGACACCAACATGCCCAAACAAGCTCTGGCAGAAAGACTATATCTGTGTCTGACCATTTTCTCAATGTTAGAGCAAAGAGGGTCATATGTGGTTTCTACCAAAAGAAAAGAACTAGTTGATTGTCTTTGTTCTTGTAAGATGTTAGTACATGAAGTATGGTGTTCCAAATCCACTGGGAGTGAAACTTATCACCTGAGAAGGGGAAGTCACAGGGTTGACCCAATCCACAGAGGAACAATGGACCTCAAACAAAGAAGAGAGTTTTGTTTATGGTCTAAAAAAAAGATGAAACCTTGAGCATACTCCAAGACCAGCAAACCTAGGAGAGTTCTCAGAAATCAGGACCCCTTGGGGCAAGAAACAATGATATGTGACTGTAAGAAATGAAGGGGCACAAGTGATGATCTATTACAGGAGAAGGAACTCTGCCTGCATGAGCCTCACAAAAACTGAATCCCAGATTTTGGAAATGGACAAGTACTTCAAGGAGTGACCTGTGAGTGAGAGATACTAACAAGTTACCTTATAAGACAGGAAAATAAATATAAGCTATAGATTGTACGTTGTATTTCCATTTACCTACAACCTTATGTTTCCAAATACTTGCTTTTACGCAAATCTTTCTCTCTGATAAACTTCAGTCTGTTTTTACTATAAATCTGTCTAAGCTCCTTGTGCTGAGGAAAGCATGAACCGAGGTGTACTGCTTTCTCTGAGGCAGCAAACCTGGACACCTGCAGTGCACACTGAAAGCAAAGGAGTGGGCACTCAAGTGTACCGAAGTGAGGGATGTATATTGCTAACCTGCACTGGGAAAAAGCGAGGGCCGTGGAGCCTAAGGTTAGCTATAACAGGAAAGGTTTACTCTGGTGGGCACAAATAAGTTTCTCTCATGCCCAGGAAGTGTCACTCTCGTACCCGGCAGCATTAAAGCATCGTGGTGGTAGCAGCAGAGGAAGAGATAAGAAATCATGCAAGTGGGCAATTTTAGCCAAAGATTTAGTACAGACAGTTTAAGAACTGTTTGTTGAGAGAAAGCAAAATGCTGTTGAAGAATCACTACATATTTTCTTGTGCTTCAGGCTTCTACCTATATCTATACAAGACACTTACACAATACTGTAGAAGTTTTTGATCAGGCTGAAAACATTGCACTACATAAAGCAGGCATTCCAACTTTTTGACAAGCCTTGTGTTGTTTAAGTGTAATGAAATGGATAATGGAATTCAATGTAGTTTACATAGATCAAAAGTCTTCCAGAAACAACAGAGATTTTAGCCATCCAGTTTATCAAGGCTAGGAAAGCATGCCTTTTACCACTTGCAATATGGTTATTAGGTAACTATAACCCAAGAAATGTATTACAGTACTAGGCTTGATAATTAAAAGTTTGACCACCAGTTTACCACTGATTCAGTCTGCTACTGTCTAATTGCACTTGTGTAAGATGTGGGGATATTGATAAATGACCAGTGCCAAGTAGTTTCCTCTTTAGAAGCCACAGAACCGTCTGACATGCAGCAATAGAGACACCAGTTCTTGAACTGCTTCCCCAAAAAAACAACTTATTTTATTCATGAGACACCCAGGAAAACATACAAGAGCTCCATAGGTCTTGTATTCCTTTTACTCTAACATACGTTATAGATTTGCAATATTTAGAGCTGCCCCTCAGGGCTCTAAATGGAGCCGATTAACACCAAACCCAGTTTGATTCAACTCATCAGTTTCAGGGAAACACTTCTACAAGATTTACAGCAGAGACAGGACCTGGCTGAAGTAGCATCTTTTAGGTGGGAAAAATAGCTCAGTGGTTTGAGCATTGGCCTACTAAACCCAGGGTTGTGAGTTCAATCCTTGAGGGGGCCATTTAGGGGATCTGGGGCAAAAATTGGGGATTGGTCCTGCTTTGAGCAGGGGGTTGAGCATCTCCTGAGGTTCCTTCCAGCCCTGATATTGTATGATTGAACTTTTGTGACATTTTCTGTAGTGAGAGAGACTTTCCAACTACGTGCTATTGGCAGCATTAGCATTCCACTCTGGGCTCCACAAAAGACACTGCCACACCCACCTTGTCTCTTATAACCCTGTTGGTCCCTACTGTGTTTGCAACCCCTCCTCACTACAGTACAGGTATGGTGCATGAGATCCCAACTGATTTTTATTCTTTTGTCTCAGTCTAGAGAAAAGAAGTTGTTAGCATATAGCTCAGCATGAAGTTTTATATTTTAATCAATATCTTTTAAGGAATAATAAGTAAAATATGGTTGTCTTGAGAGTCCCTTCAGCCAAGTATAAAACATGGTAACTATGTGTGATTATCAGGCAATTTTCTAGTTAAGAAAAACATGTCTGTAAACGTACACAAAAGTGGTAACTGTAGTTCTGACATCTAATTTTCAAATCTATTTATTCAGTGTAATAATTACAGTAGATCAGCTGAATTTTAGTTGTCTAACAACTTCCAACCCAAAGGTCAGAAAAAGAAAGACAGTCCACAAAGATTTGATGCTGTACTCTGGAAGTGATTTCTGCATGCCACACACCAAATGAAAGCTCTGCTTAACCACTTGCAACTCCACTAATTCTGTAGCACTTCTAGATCATACAGTACTTCATATATGTGCCAGCAAGACCATATATCGCCTGGACTTAACTCAGTTACCTAATTCTGCACAACCCAAGCTGTTAAATCAAATGCTGCACATTTAACTTTTGCACCAAACTCAAAAAATAACCGTCTCCTGGACAGATGAAATTAAGCCCGTTAGCCATTCACACACTATCATCTCCCAATTCAAAGCAAAACAAAGCTGTGCTCACGATCAGCGTGACTGAGCCCAAGAAAACCTCATCTTGCAAAGAACAGAAAGCAGTAAAGTACGGTGGACGATTATCCAGAGCTCTGAGTCTGAGCGCGTCCACGTTCTGTGCGATTCCAATTGTTATTACCCCACCCTTGTGAAGCACACTTTGTGATAGTCTGCCCCCTCAGGCAATGATGCAGCAGTTCGCACTTCCAGCAGCAGCGCTCTCCTTCCCTCCCTGCAAGGGCATCTCGCTGAATACAAAAACGCTGCCGCAACGCACTCTCGCGGCACACTGCTCCCAGGCGCTGTATGAAACCCACCTCCAAGAGGGTGCACAGAGAGCGATAAGAAGCAGCTGAGGCCTCGTTAGGTACTTGGTACTGCGCTGAAAAGTGACATTAATTGCTGCTGCGTTCATTTCTTTTTTGTAACGAACATCAAGTCCACTTTCCTCCTGTATCCCCGCATAACGCCTAATGCGAGCAGGCTGTACCCCCTCTCTTTTTCAAGAAGACATTGAGTAGTTTCAACCATACTGCCGACCCAGCTACCCTCCGCAAGAGCAGAGTTGCGGGGGGAGTGTAAATCTTCCACACAGGGCCACATCAAACTACAGGTGGGGCCCCGTGCTTTAAGTCCCCACTCACAGGATCAGCCTCAGCAGGCGTGAAGGGGACGTGTGACCGCTTCGGAGGGGGCAAAACACGCTTTCCCGGCAGGGAGGGAGTCTGAACAAGTACACCCCCCAAAGCCACTACCCCTGCTAGCACACGCGGGGGAGCGTTCAAGCGACAGCATCACAAGCCAAGGAACATTTCTACCCCTCTAAGAGACACCGCCGCACACGTGCGGACAACCCACCCCCTGGGCTCCCGCAACACGCCCGGCTGCGTGCGCTGCACCGCTAGCTCCTATGTCTCCAGCCGAGGGGCGAGAGGATCATCAACAGTCCCCCGGGCAGACCACAAGCTGGTCGGTATCAACTCTCGCAGTGTCGGGGGCGGGGTGGGGGAGCGCGGGGAGAGGAAGGACCCTAGACCCACAAATAGCGCCCAGCCCCCGGGCTGTGATTTATAGAGCCACGTGCTGAGAGCTGGGCGGCTGCAGTTACGCCGCTTTACGCGGAGTCAACGCGGCTCCAGCCACCAGCTGTTCCGAACCGGAGTCTCCGTTTTTGGAAAAGGGGGAGGTTTGCTGGAGCCTCCCTCGCCAGCTGGCGCCGGGCCAGGCTCCAGCCCCAGGGAGACACCCCGGCTGCGCCCCGCCCGCAGTAACGGTCCCGCCGCCGCGACAAGTGGAATCTAAACACACCCCGCGCCCAGCAACCGCGCCCCGGCCGCGGCGACCCCGGGAGCGGGAGCAGCGGGAGCCGCGGGAGCAGCGGGCCGGGCACCCCCCCTCCCCGCACCCTCCTGAGCACACGGGGGGCTCTCACCAGCCGGGCTCTTCCCGTCACACACACACCCCCACCCCCGCCGGGAGCCAGCCTCTTCCCCCCCCCGATTCACCCGCAGCCGCCTCGCTCCCTCTGGGGTCCGTCCCCCGCCCCGGCTCGCCCCGCGCCCCGCCCCGCGGCCGCAAAAACTTTCGCCGAACTCCGGCAACCGCCCCGGCCCCGCCCGCAGCCCGGCCCCGCCCGAGGGAAAGTTTCACTTACCGCAGCAGAGGAGCAGCCCCAGCCCCAGCAGCCCCGGGCCGGGCAGCGCCGGGGGCCGCCGGGGAGGGGAGGAGGCAGCGTCCGCGGTGGCGGCAGCGGGAAGTTCCCCGCTGGCGGGAGGAGCCGGCGGGGGAGCGGCCGCCGGGGTCCCCGCCATGCTCCGGACTCGGCTCCCAGCCGCCGCCGCTACGATCCCAGCCCAGCCTGCCCCGACCAGCCGCAGCCGCCGCCGCCGCCTCCCCGCGCCGGGTCTGTGTGTCACTGAGCGGGGAGGCGCAGCGCCCTCCTCGGAACGGGCCGCACCACCCCGCTGGGGGGGGGAGGGAACCGCTCGCTCCCACCCCCTCCTTCTTCCCGGGGCAAACCGTCTCGCTTCCCCCCCCGTCCCTCCAATGCGCCCGCCTACACCAGGGGCGGCGCAGCCCCTGCCGGCCAAAGGACTCACCCCGGGAGCTGGGGGTGTCACGGTGCCCTCCCCCCCCGGGGGCTTATTGGTATGTCCCATCCCGCCCCTCCCCTTTCCTCCCCCTCCCCACTTTCCGCCGCCGGAGGAGGGTTGGGGGAAATCAGTGCTACTCACTCGCCCGCTGACTGGAGCGGTCCCTCCGTCCCTCCCTGCGATTCCTTCCTACCCTGCCTCCGTCCTTCCCCCGCTGCCCCTCTTCCTCTCCTCCCGGCTCGGCTTTTCTTCTCCGCCTCTTCTGCCTTCTCTCTCCCCCCGGTCACCCTTCCCCCGGGCCGCCCCCTCCTTCTTCCGACCTTTCCGCCTTACTTCCCCCCCAAGTTATCCGGCGGCGTGGCGAGCCCCTCATGTTAGGGGGCGGGAGGGCGGCTTTAGCCACCCATTGTGAAAGCCCCCCCCCCCCAGCCTACACTCAGGAGGACTCTCGAGCGGGGGGACAGCCTGTGTTTCCCCTGTGCGGGGATTCCCTAGGTGAGGCGCTGAGAGACACACAGGCACACCCAGAAACGCAGCAAGACACGGAAAAAAGTGTACTGTGCAGAGCTTCTTCCACGGATCAGCTGTGGGACCACAGGGCTCCCTCATGACCAAGTCCTGACATGGCTCCAAGTAATCCACCTGAGCTCAGCAGCCCAACCGTGCAGCAAGTGACCCCTCCTGCTAAGAAATGTGTTTTCTCTTTGGAAATGCTTCTAGAAGCTGGCATAAAAATGCTGTGGATTAACAGTGTTTTCAGTTATTTTGGAAAAAAGGGAGAGAGACAGGAAAAAAGGATGTAGTCCCTATGACAAAGTTAGGTGCTGGCTGCTTACTGCATCAACAAATACTTATTTTTGTGGTACATTACTGTCTTTTGATTATGCCAGTCTGGTCTTGACAGCTTTATGTTCTATATGTCAGAAAAGATACACAATGGGCAGCAGCAGTGCAAACTTCCATACACTTCTCCATCAATGTGTCTAAACTTTTATTGAGGGCAACACTTCTAGAGGTGAGAGGATAATTTATTTCCCTTCTCCATTCTTCACTTGGCATCTCTGCTGAGAATACCAACCAGGGTACAAATCTGTACCAGCTGTAAGGGTTGTTTTGTGATGCACCTGTCCTCCACAGAGTGGTCTGAGACTAAACTCATTTCACACAGTCCATCAAAGACATCATATGATAACAAGTTTCATTCATTGCTGCTCTGGGGAAACAAATTAGAACTGGCATCAGTGAAAGGCATTGTATCATGTTTCCAGTCCCCTTTGCCATCTTAACAAGTAATGTCTTTGAGGAGATGCCTGTGGCTTAAAGATGAAGTAATGATATTTATAAACTGTGAAATATGAACAACTCTTATGTTCCTCACATGGATGCTATGGCTACTTTTAAAATTTTGGCGCTATTATTTGCTTTCATGGGCCAGATCCTGCAAGATTTTGAGTAATTCCTGCTGGGTGCTAGTAGTAACCTGTTGACTTCGGTGGAAATGAAAGGGCTCATCGCCTCTTATATTTGGACCCTTTGAGAAAAAGTATTGACAACAGAAAATTATTATGTAGTCTTTACATATGAGGTACAGAAAAGTTTAAGGATGAACCTAATGATTGATGATTTAATCATTAGAGGACCACCATATGTTTTTATTATGCCTTGTAATAAATAAAAGTTCACAAAGCTAAATAAACCTTATAATGTAGAAACATTCAGATCATTAGGGTCCCTTCTTCAGGAATCTGTATTTTTGGTGTCAGAATAATATGCATTATTAATTATTAGTCCAATGAAAGTATCATTTTATATATCCTGTCAATTTTTCACAACTTCTTATTCAGTTAGTTATTTTTACTAACTACAAGCTAATCACAATTTCCCCTTTAGTCTTAAACCATATAACTTTTCCAACCATTGTTGAATTTTATATATTATGTATTATTTGATTATCAGATATACGTTTCACTATATCTATTTAACACATTTGTAGTGCTTCTATCCCATATATGTGTGCACCAAAAAAAAAAAAAACACCCTAGGAACAGGCACAAATGGAGAAAAACCATGGTCTTTGCCTTAAGCCTGAAAGCAATACACACAGAACTCCTGGGGGCTGATTCTGGCAGTGCATAGGGGTCATAAAGGGGATGCAACCACTGGGGCAGAACTCCCTCTGCACAGAAGTTGGTTAAGACCACCTAACGTTTTCCTATGCAACCTCCTCAACCCCTCATAGCCCCCAAAGTAGAATACATGTTGAGGCATGGGGCAAGAAGGAGGGTGTCAGGAGCAGAAGGCAGAGTATCTGTAGCACTAAGTGCTGGTGAGATTCTTGGCTGCGGCACAGCTCATAAGTTGTCTGACTAAGGCTGCTATACATTAGAGCAGACACCACTCAACCTAGAACCCAGGCAGTACAAAGGTGGCAGTGCAAAGGCTGTACCTTCTGTACCTTGGTACAGAATTTGTCCCATTGATTTGAATGTAATTTCTGTATACAGGGAAATAGGTGTGGTGCCTGATTCAGATAAAAATACTGGCGTTTATGATATACAGGTTGAGAGTCCAGTTTCGATGAGGTCTGCATTTGTTTTCTTCATCTGTTTCTGGTGGATTGCCACTGAAAGTCTTCATGGAAAATACAACAAGGCTTTCATAAACGTATAAGCACCTATGCTGTTGAGAATTCTGGTGGAAACATTTCTATCATTTGATTTTCTAGTAGAGGTTAGATACAGGCTCTACATCATGTACAAGACTGAGTAACATTAGTTAGTGATGGAGCTGAACCATCATGTTTCTCTAAAACCTACTCATGGGTTAAGTTTATCACACACTCAGAAAACTGTGTTCATCCAGTCTTCAGCTCCATTGAATGTTCACTAATTAACAGGCCTCACTAATTTGTAACTGAAAAACAAAACAAAGATCAGGCAAAGAGTCGCTAGAGGCAAATTATTAGCAACAATGGACATTCTGCATTCAATAACATTTTTGTGTGTAAATTAGCATAACTGATGGGGGTCATTGTTAAACTTTAAAAAATTTCATCATTTTACTTCTCTAGGACATATCCTCAGGGGATGTAAAGCTGTGCCCATGCTGTTTTAATTTACAACAAAGTTGAGTGGATAAGACTTAGGAGAGCTCAGGTACAGTGGGGAACACGTGCAAATAAAATTGCAGCCTATTTCATTAAAAATAAAATGAATTTAAAAAAGAATGTCAGTGTTAGCCTAGCTCTATTCTAAACTTTAGGGCCTGATTCTTCACTGTGTTACTCCAGTTTTATGACACTGTAATTGCATTGAAATATGTGTAATCCATTACTGCAGTAAAATTGGAGTAATGCCAGCTGTGAATTAGGCACACATTGTCTGATTCTTATTTACACTAAGGGCTCTTCTACAAGGAAATTGACTGGAATGGCTATAGCAGAATGATTGTACTGCTATAGCTTTGCCTGTGTAACTCCGTGTGTTCAGAGCTGGCACTAGGCATAAGCAGACTAAGCAATTGCTTAGGGCAGTGGCTCTCAACCTTTCCAGTCTACTGTACCCCTTTCAAGAGTCTCATTTGTCTTGTGTATCCCCATGTTTCACGTCACTTAAAAACTTACAAAATCAGACATAAAAATACAAAAGTGTCACAGCATACTATTACTGAAAAATTGCTTACTTTCTCATTTTTATCATATAATTATAAAATAAATCAATTTGAATATAAATATTGTACTTACCTTTCAGTATATAATATACAGAGCAGTATAAACAAATAATTGTCTATGAAATTTTAGTTTGTGCTGACTTTGCTAGTGCTTTTTATGTAGTCTGTTGTAAAACTAGGCAAATAGCTAGATGAGTTGATGTACCCCCTGGAAGACCCCTGAGTACCCGAGGTGTACACATACCCCGGTTGAGAACCACTGGTTTAGGCCCCCAAGCTGCTCAAGGGGGCGCCCTCCTATTAGTATGTGTTGTGGGAGGGGCATAATATTCCTGCTTAGGGCCCCCAGTGGGCTACCACCGGCACTGCCCATGGTATAGTTTATTGTTCTTGTATAATTTTATAATGTTATCTCCATTCTGGTATAATTACTCAGTTTCCTGGGGTGTTAAGGCTCCTTTACACTTTCCTTGGTCAGTGTAAAAGGGACCTTAAAGTTACATTTAGTAATTACACTTACACCCACTTTAAGGCCCTCTTACTCTGCTAGAAAGGTGTAATGAGGCAGTAGTGTAACTGAGAAAGTATTCTTTAATATTTAGTATGCCATTTGTGACAACTGCTATCAAATTGCAAACTGCAAACAATTTTCATTTTTTTACATTCCAAAATAACAAAATAGGTTAAGTCTTATTAAAATAAAATTTTATGCCTATTGTGCCTCTCAAGGCCCTTCACAAAAACAAGTGAGTATGTCCATACTGGCCAAGGAAATTTTGTCATATTTCAATAGAAATTGAGCTAGCCAGTAGGTAACATCTTCTGGTGCCAAATTCATCCCTGTTGTAATCAAATGCCACAGGACTTAATTTAGTCCTTAGATTTTTAGAACATCACTAAAGGTGAATTATTCAGAATAATTCCTTTTACACAGTGTAGTAGTTGACATCTGTAAGGCCTACTGGCTCAATCCATATACATCTGTTGGTCTTGGCATATTGTTAAATACATATATTTTTTAAAAGTTGGAGGTTGTCCAGTTTAAAACAATCTTTGAGCTCTAAACATTCAGAATACTGTACTTTATTTCAAAACAATTTCCAGTATTTATTTTTTACAATTTCTAGTTGTCGTGTTCCCCTTCCAGCCCCCCCTCCATTTCCCA